AATATTTTGTGTTCAACAACTGTTTAGAAATTCCTTTTCGTTTTTGAGCTATTAGCAAAAGAAATATTTAGGGGCCAACCCTTCAACTCCTTAATGGGGCCGTTTAGCAAAAAATGAAAGGCAACATATTGTTCAGAACATTATTTTGAACATCTTTTGTTCAATATTGCTTTTCAAAATATTTCTCCATATTGAGATATAAAGCATCAAAGATTTAGCATTCTGGCCCCTTGTGGCCCCTAATGATGTACCATACGACATGGAAATCATAATATATAGTTGTAGATGGTTGAGATGAACATATTTGTTTCAGTATTGTATTACAAAATATTGACTTTAAAAAAGTTATTGAATAAAAACTGTTGGCCCCTTTCAGCCCTTAATTTGATGAGTCAGCACATTTTTCTTGATATCATATTAAAGATTTTTATATTTTGCACAAATGTTGTTCAGTATGTTTTAACAAAATATTTATATTTTAAAAGATATGATACAAAATGTCTCAAAAAATCACTCATAAAACGTGTCCTAAATTTTGACCCCTACCGAGCTTCCATATTAGGCACTTCCGGAAAATATCCTGACCATGTTGCAACGTGGCAACATGTCCTCTATCATCACTAAAAATTTCAGCTTTCTAGCTTGAGCCGTTTTTGAGTTCCATCACAGACAAGGAGGTCCTCCAAATTTTGATCAAAGGGCGATAACTCCCGACCGGAAGTGAATTTCCAAAAAAAAATTTGCCGGAATTAACTTCAGATGAAAACGCATCGACTGTGAAAATTTGAAGCAAATCGAACGAGCCATCTCCGAGAAATCGTCTGCACAAATTTTGTAAGAAGAAAAAAGAATAAAAATAATAATAATAACTAGATGAGATCTCGTTGCGAGCAACGAGTGGGTCTTCCGTCCAATTCTTGATGAGATGAGATAAGATTTTGATTGCGATTTTCATTCTAAAATAATGATTTACCACAAACTGTAAAAAGACATTGAACATTAAAGACTTTAAAAAATCGGCCTTTTGCCCCTAACGGCCCCTAATTTTAGGAATCGGCCCTTTTTATTCATATCATCTGAAAGCTCTTAAGATTTTGAACATTTTTTGTTCAACAACTATTCAGAAATTCTTTTTCGTTTTTGAGATATTAGCAAAAGAAATATTTAGGGGCCAACCCTTCAACTCTTGAATGGGGACGTTAAGCAAAAAATGAAACGTTGCATATTGTTTGGAACATGATTTTGAACATCTTTTGTTCAATATTGCTTATCAAAATATTTTTCTCTTTCGAGATATAAAGCATCAAAGATTTAGCATTCTGGCCCCTTGTGGCCCCTATTTATGTACCATACGACAGAAAAACCATAATATATAGTTGTAGATGGTTGAGATAAACATCTTTGCTTCAGTAATGTATTACAAAATATTAACTTATAAAGAGTTATCGATTGGAGACTTTTGGCCCCTCTTGGCCCCTAATCTGAGTGCCCAGCCCCTTTTTCGGGATCTCATCTTAAAGATCTTAAGATTTTGAACATTTTGTGTTCAACAACTGTTCAGAAATTCTTTTTCGTTTTTGAGTTATTAGCAAAAGAGATATTTAGGGGCCAACCCTTCAACTCCTTAATGGGGACGTTTAGCAAAAAATGAAAGGTTGCATACTGTTCAGAACATTATTTTGAACAACTTTTGTTCAATATTGCTTATCAAAATATTTCTCCCTTTCGAGATATAAAGCATCAAAGATTTAGCATTCTGACCCCTTGTGGCCCCTATTTATGTACCATACGACATAAAAACCATAATATATAGTTGTAGATAGTTGAGATAAACATCTTTGCTTCAGTAATGTATTACAAAATATTAACTGATAAAGAGTTATCGATTGAAGACTTTTGGCCCCTCTTGGCCCCTAATTCGAGTGCCCAGCCCCTTTTTCGGGATCTCAACTTAAAGATCTTAAGAATTTGAACATTTTGTGTTCAACAACTGTTCAGAAATTCTTTTTCGTTTTTGAGCTATTTGCAAAAGACATATTTAGGGGTCAACCCTTCAACTCCTTAATGGGGACGTTTAGCAAAAAATGAAAGGTTGCATACTGTTCAGAACATTATTTTGAACAACTTTTGTTCAATATTGCTTATCAAAATATTTCTCCCTTTCGAGATAAAAAGCATCAAAGATTTAGCATTCTGGCCCCTTGTGGCCCCTATTTATGTACCATACGACATAAAAACCATAATATATAGTTGTAGATGGTTGAGATAAACATCTTTGCTTCAGTAATGTATTACAAAATATTAACTGATAAAGAGTTATCGATTGAAGACTTTTGGCCCCTCTTGGCCCCTAATTCGAGTGCCCAGCCCCTTTTTCGGGATCTCATCTTAAAGATCTTAAGAATTTGAACATTTTGTGTTCAACAACTGTTCAGAAATTCTTTTTCGTTTTTGAGCTATTAGCATAAGAAATATTTAGGGGCCAACCCTTCAACTCCTTAATGGGGACGTTTAGCAAAAAATGAAAGGTTGCATACTGTTCAGAACATTATTTTGAACAACTTTTGTTCAATATTGCTTATCAAAATATTTCTCCCTTTCGAGATATAAAGCATCAAAGATTTAGCATTCTGGCCCCTTGTGGCCCCTAATTATGTACCATACGACATAAAAACCATAATATATAGTTGCAGATGGTTGAGATAAACATCTTTGCTTCAGTAATGTATAACAAAATATTGACTTTAAAAGAGTTATTGAATAAAAACTGTTGTCCCCTTTCAGCCCTTAATTTGATGAGTCAGCACATTTTTCTTGATATCATATTAAAGATCTTGATATTTTGCACAAATGTTGTTCAGTATGTTTTAACAAAATATTTATATTTTAAAAGATATGATACAAAATGTCTCAAAAAATCACTCAAAAAACGTGTCCTAAATTTTGACCCCTACCGAGCTTCCATACTAGGCACTTCCGGAAAATATCCTGACCATGTTGCAATGTGGCAACATGTCCTCTATCATCACTAAAAATTTCAGCTTTCTAGCTTGAGCCGTTTTTGAGTTCCATCACAGACAAGGAGGACCTCTAAATTTCGATCAAAGGGCGATAACTCCCGACCGGAAGTGAATTTCCAAAAAATGATTTGCCGGAATTAACTTCAGATGACAACGCATCGACTGTGAAAATTTGAAGCAAATCGAACGAGACATCTCCGAGAAATCTTCTGCACAAATTTTGTAAGAAGAAAAAAGAATAAAAATAATAATAATAATAAAGGTAAAAAAGAAACCGAAGAATAATAGAAGGGTCTTCCGCTGAAGACGGAAGACCCTAATAAAGGTAAAAAAGAAACCGAAGAATAATAGAAGGGTCTTCCGCTGAAGACGGAAGACCCTAATTAGCAACTAATAAAAATTAGATATTTATTTTATTTGTAAATTTCAAAGATCTTTTGTTTGCTTTCTGTACCAGAAGTTTACATGTGTATCCACATTTTACGGCAGGCCTATATAGATGTATACCATATCGTTTTCAAGTTCGATAACTTTAAAAAAGCAAACAAATCTTTAATTAAAGCATTTTATAGTTGATCTCATTCTGTTACTTTCTCTATAAACTACTAAAAATGAATCTTAGATGTCAAAAGTGTTCTTGCTGATTGTCAAAACATTCATGTCGATTCGTCTTCAACGGATTCGAGCGTACGTCGATCGCATGAGGATCGATGCTTTCGACTTCACATTGATTTACAATCGATAAATACCCGTTTTGTTCCTTAAAAGCCAGAAAATAATTAGAATATACTTGTTTTGGTTCCAATCGAGTTAAAAGACAAGTTGTTCAGTAATACGCTAACTTTAAAACCGAGAGACATAGTAAGCTAGTTTTGTTGTTAGACGTTTCTAATGTAAACAAAGGGCCGGTACTCTTGAAAGGGGTTATCAAGGGGGGAGAGAGAGATTGTAATGAAAACCTTATACATTGTGTTTACCCAATAAATTTATAAACACACAAAATTATTTCCATTTTTAAGAATAAGAGTAAGGAAATAAATGAAATTTGTATTTTATAGTTTTGACAATAAATAAATCAAAATAAATACATGTATATAAATACAAGTACATGTATAAATATAAAAAAAAATTTTAAAAAAAATAATAATAATTATTCACTCAAAAAGAATTGCATAGATGAATAGCAATTTATAAGATTTATTTTTTTATTTAATTAAAATTAGAGGCATACATATGTTGGTAATGGTACACGTAAGTAACACATTAATTTAAACAATTGGGGATACTTTTAGTTCACGTAGTATCATATAGAAACTGATATTAAAATTAATGTCTAGTGTCCGCTAAGTTGTGATTAAAGAAATGGTTAGAAAAGTGATTTGTGCTATACCAAGCAAATTATGTCACCTACCCGGCAAAAAAAAAAAAATAAATAAATAAATAAAAATAAAAAAAAAATATGAAAAAACCGGCTACACGTTGTGTGATTTATAGGCATTCCAATTTTCACAAAATATGTATAGATACATTAAAAATATTTCATAAATGAAAAATAAGAACATATAAGTAAGATTCTAAAATGTTATTTTATTAATATAATATTTTATTCTATTTATTTATTTTTGATAGGAGCTAGAAAATATATTTGAGGAACATTTGGGTATAGCAAACTCAGCTCATTCACATCAAGTTAATGAAGACAGTTCTGGTGAATTGGATATTGAATGTGATGCTGATTTGCGTGAACCTTTATCTGTAGAAAGACTAGCTCATCTGTTCTTTGATTCTGATTATGATCATGCTACAGAGACAGACCCCACAGGTGTACAAGATGAGAATGATTGTAGTGAGAATTTTTCTATTGCAAGAGCTGGTTGTACGTGTTCAAAAAACTGCCTTGACAATTTTTCCATTGAGCAACTTACTGATCATATATACAGCATTCGGGATTTGGAGAAGGCAGAGAAGGAAATTATGATTATGACCAGTTTAAATCAGTTTGGCTTTGGGAAAAAATTATCAAACCCTCGAAAGAGAACAAAGTATACGTACACATTTCAGGAACAAACAATATGTAGAAAGGCATTTGAGTTTATATATGATGTCAAAGAATATACGTTAGACAGCCTTCAAAAACATTTGCAATCTCAAGGCATTACTCCTCGTGTCCATGGTAACAAGGGAAGAAAAGCCCCAAATGCTTTCAAGTTTGAAGAAGTCAAAAATGCGGTGCAGTACTTGATAAACTATGCGAGTCAACACGGAATACCCCAGCCAGCAGGAACCAGAGGAAGGGACACAGAACCTACTATCTTTTTACCATGTTCAGATACCAAAGATGCTTTACACAAGCGGTATGTTGAAAGCTGTGCCCAATCCAACATTCGGGCGCTAGGATTATCTACATTTAAAGATGTATGGTTGAGATGTATACCTCATATTAAGATCAGTACACCACGAACCGACGTTTGTCACATATGTGAGAGACACAGAAATGCCATTCGGTTAGCCGTTGGTGACGTTGAAAAGCTCAGGTGTACCACTGCATTCCAAGATCACCTTCAACGAGCTGCCAAGGAAAAACAAGCTTATCAGCAAGCTGTAATGGAATCGATGACAGAGATTGAAAATGTCAGACGAGGTTATGGTCCTTCAATTCCTTGCTCTTCCCCTTACACTAAGGTCCATTACACCTTTGATTTTTCCCAGCAGATGTTTATTCCTCATCATGCAAGACAAATGGGACCCCTCTATTTTCTCGTTCCACGCAAAGTACAGTTATTTGGGGTGAGGGTGGATGGAGTACCAAGACAATACAATTACCTCATTAATGAGAATGAAACCATGGTATATGAATACAATTACATTTTATAGTATATATATGATTATGATTATCCATCGGTATATGAATACAATTACATTTTATGGTGTATATATGATTATGATATGCTTTTGAGATTTAACAAAGAAATTTTAATATTATCGTAGTGATACATTTTGATTGTTTTTTATTGATAATAAATAATTGATAGACTTGTTACTTTTAATATGAATTGAATTTATATGGTCTATTTTAGGAAATATAATAATCTAACAATTATCCACGGAATAAAGATATCGATATCTTTGTAGGTGAAAATGGCTCTAAAACCCATGGTCCCAATGCAGTGATCTCTATGCTGCATCACGCTCTGCTAAATTTTGGATTTGGTGAAATCAACTGTGTTATCCATGCTGATAATTGTGCAGGTGATTGTTTTTTCCAAAAAAAAAAAAAAAAATGAATCATCATAAAATGAAAAATTTAACCCATACATAAATATGTAATTCTGTTCTCTTATGAAGGACAAAACAAGAATCGCTATGTGCTAGCGTACTTTTGCTGGAGAGTTCTCCTGGGACTTCATCAGCAAATTACTTTCATGATGCAAATTCCAGGTCACGCAAGGTACCCTTCATTTTTAATTTTAAATGAACACCATTGTTCAAACCATTTTTATCAACTCTCTGAAACAAATAAATTGATATAAATTATCATTAAATTTTGTAGATGTCTAGTCGATTCAAGTTTCGCACACATCAAGCGTCTGTATAGACGGACAGATTGCAACAGTATTGCAGATTTACGTAATATTGTGGACAAATCTTGCTATTCCAACAATGCCGTTCTTTTTGAGGAGGAGGAAACATGGATGTGGTTAGATTGGATGGAATTCTTTTCATCAACGTTCTCTCCTCTGAAAGGACTTCGGGATTATCAACACTTTAGATTTACCCAAGACAGGCCCGGATTCGTGCTTTGCAGAAAATCAAATGTCGACGAAGAGATTCCTTTCAAACTCTTGAAATGCGATCCTGAATTCTTTGATACAAATGCTCGTCCCAGGACAATCCTACCTGGTGGTTTAACAAGAGAGAGGCAGAAGTATTTGTATCAAAGAATCCGTCCATTTGTTCAGGATCCGTGGAAAGACACGACCTGTCCTCCTGTTGATATTGAGGAGTAGTGAAATAACAAGACATCCAAGGAATCCAGAATGATACAATTATATTATGAAAAATGTTTTCACTTATAATCAAATATAATTTCATCAAAATTAAAAAAAAATATTTCGCTTGCATGCTCTTGCAATGGTTTTTATCAAGTTTGAATCTTGTCTATTTAAAAAAAATATTTTATCTAACTTTCCCTTTTATCTGAAGGGGTCATAGTTTGACGTTTCTCTTATTAATAACGTTAAGATAAGCAGATTTTGTTTGACGTTGCCAGAAGAAATTGACGTCAGGTCAAAATATTTCATGCCCTTTGCTTCATGCTAGAGAGCTTATTTAAGCACATAACTAGGTTTCCATATCATTTTTATAAATGGGAAGACATGTCCTCTTAGAATATGCAAAAAACCAAATTTCGACAAAAAGTCACTTAAGGGAGGTTTTTGCTTGGCGTGCCACAAATACACTAGCTTCCTTAGCTGAATGTATAAAATTACCCAAACAATGCCAAGTTATTCTAAAATTAACATCAGAGCTTTTCTGTTATTGAGATTTTTCCCTTTATTTTCCTATGTAAAACTTTGATCCACCACTGAGACCATTCCCTACCCTTGGATCAGGTTAATTAAGATTTGAACAAATTTATTCTACACTACCTGCATGAGGATGCTTCCATATAAATATCACTAATCATGACTTTGCTATTAATTCTTTAGAAAAAGATTTCTTTATATTTCAATGTTAACTTGAATCCCGCATTGTGGCCACACCCTATCCCTGGGGGTTATGATTTAATTGAACAAACTAAAATCTACAGTATCTGAGGATGCTTCCATAAAATTATATCACTAATCATGGCTTTGCATTTCTTGTGAAGAAAATTTTTAAAGATTTCCCTATACATTCCTATGTAAAATTTTGATCAGCCATTGTGGCCCAACCCTACCCCCGGGGGCCAAGATTTGAACAAACCTGAATGTACACTATCTGAGGAACATGAGTTTCATCTTTCCTGTCCCAATGGTTCTTCATCAGAAGATTTTTAAAGATTTTTCCTATATATTCCAATGTAAAACTTTAATCAGCCTTTGTGGCCCCACCCTACCTCCGAGAGCCAATATTTGAACAAAATGGAATGTACACTATCTGAGGATGATTCAACATGAGTTTCATTTTTCCTGTCCCAATGGTTCTTGAAAAGAAGATTTTTCCTTAGTATTCCTATATAAATCTTTGATTGGCCATTTTGGCCCCACCCTTGCCCCCGGGGTCATTATTTGAAGAAACTTACATCTACACTACCTGAGGATGATTCCACATGAGGTTCATCTTTCCTGGCCCAGTGGTTCTTGAGAAGAAGATTTTTTTTAAAATGCCATTAATTTTTCACCAATTCAAAATTATCTCCCCTTGGAAGAGGGCGTGGCCCTTCATTTAAAAAACTTGAATCCCCTTTACCCAAGGATACTTTGCTGCAAGTTTGGTTGAAATTGGTCCAGTGGTTCTTGAGAAGAAGATATGAAAATGTGAAAAGTTTATGACAACAACAATGACACCAATGACGATGACGACAGACAATGGACAAGCCTTCAGCTCAGGTGAGCTAAAAATACTCCTGTTTCCTGTCCCCTGACCAATAAAAATAAGGTACGTAGGTATGAAAAAAAAATTTATTTTGAGAAAAAATCTTATTTTCAAAACTCAATGAATGCAGAACATATATAGCATATAAAAACAACAAGAGGCCCATGGGCCACATCGCTCACCTGGATAACTTTGGTGATGCCGTTCTTGACAGAATTCCTCCTTTGTAATACCTATTGTGGCCTTGCCGTACCTCCCCCCACTCCATGTCACAAGTTTAACAATTTAGAATCTACACTACCCAAGGATGCTTCCGCATAAGTTTCAGCTTTTCTGGCCCAGTGGTTCTTGAGAAGAAGATATTTAAAGTTTATTTCTATTTTAATAAAACTTTGATTCCATTTTGCGGCCCTGCCCAACCTCTGGGGGTCATGATTTTAACAATTTATTATCTTTGATTCCATTTTGCGGCCCTGCCCAACCCCTGGGGGTCATGATTTTAACAATTTATTATCTACACTATCCCAGGATGCTTCCACATAAGTTTCAGCTTTTCTGGCCCAGTGGTTCTTGAGAAGAAGATTTTTAAAGGTTTTTTCCTATATTTCTATGTAAATTTTGATTCCCTTTTGCAGCCTGCCCAACCCCCGGGGGTCATGATTTTAAAAATTTAGAATCTTCACTACCCAAGGATGCTTCCACATAAGTTTCAGCTTTTCTGGCCCCAGTGGTTCTTGAGAAGAAGATTTTTAAAGTTTTTTCTTATATATTTCTATGTAAAACTTTGATTTCCTGTTGTGGGTATAGATATTTTTGACCTTTTTACCTTGACCGTAGAATTTCACTAACTTTTTTTTAAAAAAGTTTAACCATGTTAACCTTGGCCATAACTTTTGAAGTTTTCACAAATATTTAAATATAAGAAAATAATATCAAGGTTTTGTTCATGTTAGTGGCTCTCACACATATGCATCAGCTTATGAAGTTTGACACCCATCTTTTTTTCCTAAGAATAGCCATTTACTCTAAAAAAAAATGTAATTCAATCACTTGCCCTAAAATAGGATTTTCAAGACTGTGCAATTTTATTTATTTATTTTTTTCATTTTAAAATATAATAATAATTATTAATATTATGTCTTTTTAAGTTTTGTCATTTCAGTTTCCATACCTCCCCCCCCCCCCCCCCCCGCCCCCATCCCGGATACTTCGCATCTGCATCATGTGCATTTACAAAAAAACAGCTCTAGAATAAATATACTCCCACTACAAAGACAATGATGACCTATGTTATTGTTGGTTATAAAATAAACAAGTTTTGGACACTTGAAATATATTCTGAATGGAAGAAAATTTTCATATCCCATTAGTCCCAACAAGCCCAAGAGCATGCGCAGTCAAGACGTTTCCCGCTATAACTGAGCCTTTATCATGTTTATTTAAACTGTATAAATTACACAAAACGAATAAATATGTTTATATTTACAATGCATGGTAACAATGTAAACAAAAATATTTCCTAAATAAACTAGCCTAAATGTGTGGCTAACATTAAACAGTAACCTGCAATGGCGACGGGAACGAGTACTCACCGTTGTTCATGCACGTTTGTCAACAGAAAACGTTGACGTTGTATAAAGTTAAAAACTCCTGATTTCACCAAAAATAAACTTACCTCAGTCTGAAGTAATCTTCTTCTGTATCTTTGGTGATGAAAGAACGCTTTGATAAGTCGCTTTGGAAGGCTTTTTGCAAGAGCAAAAAAAAACACTGCTATTCGAGAAAATCTCAGATATCAGTGTGACGAGTATTCTCATTCAGGGTCAGATCACGTGATCAATTTGGTCAATAGAGCGTGCCTACAAGGTGTAAAAAGAAGAGATAGAGAGAGAGAGGGAGAGAGAGAGAGAGACGTTAACAAAGATATTGTCCTACGGACAACAGGGCTTGTCCCGATACACAATTGGATATTATTCTAAGAGAGAGAGAGAGAGAGAGAGAGCGACATGCTTTATAAAAAATGCATATACGATCAGATCAAATTTTAATCATATATGCCTTCACAATTGGCGTCGAAAGCAAATTGTAAAGGGGGGGGGGGGGGCTAGGTGAAAGAAAAAAAAATTACAAGAAAAAAAGTGTCCCAAACATGAAGATCTTATTTCGTGGGTGAACTTATTAGACAGTACCTATTTTTTTCCAAACACTACCATGCACTTACCTTTTTTTGACCTAAACTGCAACGTGCCTGTTGAACTGCAGTGGGGCTAAACCTACGCCGGCCTCAAGTTCAATGTCTATATTACAGTGGTATGTCTATCTTTGCAGAAAAAAAGTGGGGGAGGGGCTAAGTCCCCCTGAATCCGACGCCTATGCTTCAAAAAAGTGAGAAAGATGAAGGAGAGGTGGGGGAGTCAACCAATCATAAGAAACTAAAGTTTAAATGTCATCTGTATTTTTTTTTATTTGATATTCAGCTTTAAGTTGTTGATCAGAAAAAATGGCTTCAGCCTTTTTCCCTGAAAAAACTTTTTCCAAAGTAAAGGAATACTAGTTAAAGCCCATTGGGCTCCTTTTCATAGGTTGAACAAATTAATTTTTCGCGTTATAAGGCGAAACTTTCGCGAATAAACACGTATCTTTCGCAAATAAGTGCGAAACTTTCGCGTTAACTTATAACGCGTAACTTTCACATTATTTAAAACGCGTAACTTAAATTTTTAGTTTGCGAATAAACGCATCTTCGCAATTAAGCTGTAGTAGTGTGTATAATATGCGTATATAATAAATAAGTGTTTTAAATTTAATGTAAATAAATTAAACTACCATAATAGATAAAAGTATAAAAAGCTTGATCCGCTCCTTTATATCCTTAGCCCTTTACCTGTACACCTGTATATAGATAATTAGTTACCTTAGGGCAGTTCAAAGGTTTTGGAGTGTTATTGGTTCTTATTGGTAGTTTGGTTGTCAAGTTGATTTTCATTGGTTTTATTCTTATGGTCATTGGTTTTACCGCCAAAATATTCATTCTTTGTCTTGTTGAGTTAATGACCAAGACTGTATTTTATGGACTTCAATGACTTTGACCTTTGGAAACTGACAAATTCCATTTTCTGGTAAGTACTAACTTTCCTTATTACTAATTGTCAAGTAATATGTCTATTCTACAGATTTGCATTTATTATAGATCCCAATTTCACTTCATATTAATTGAATGTATGACCATGAGAGAAAGATGTTATTTTTATGATTGGAATTATTGATTATATAGATCAATATTTACATTTGCAAATGTTTTCCTTAAGGTGGTATGGGATACCAAACGAAATTTCTCCTATATATTCATGTAAACAAATTAGGAGGATTTGAAATGCCATCACGCATCAGTATGTTAAATCGTAATTTTAATAATTTTTTTCATTATTTT